GGACAGGATCGCAGAGGCCCAAAACAACGAACAATCGCAGTCTCACGTTTTTGAGACGTGAGATGTCTGGGCCCCGCGCGACCCGAGGATGATCGGACGAGATCAGCGTCGTGCTGCGAATGGCTCAGGGTGCGTCCCAGGAGCTCCGGAATATATGGCGGCCCCCGTCTCGGGAGCCCGCGCGGGAACATAGAGCATCCTGAGAAAAAACCTTGGAGACATGGGAGCGCATCATTCGCTCGGCCGCCCCGATGCGCAACACACGCCACCCGCAGCGTCGCAGCGTGCTGACACGGAGCTCAGCGCGCAGACTGGAACACGCAGGTCTGACGCGACACGTCCGCCGCCAGAACGCGGGCCAACACGTGGAGCCAACACGCAGCGTGCATGAACATGGACGCTCTGAACTCATGGGCCTGTTTTCCACCACCACCACCACCACCATAGGTTTGAGGAGGGAGAAGAAGAGGGGATGAAGAGGAGGAGGAGGAGGAGGAGGAGAGGAGGAGGAGGAGGAGGAGGAGGAGGAGGACCCCCTCCCCCTCCAACTCATGGTGGTGGTGGTGGAAAACAGGCCCATCATCCACGCGGCACGTGCTGCGTGTCAAAACGGCCGCATCGAGGCAGCCAAGCCGAGGCGGGGCACGGCGCGCGACGGGCCGCGGAGGGCTCCGCACGAGCCGGCCAACGCCCGACCTGGAGGAGCCACGCCATCACGCACCGCTGGGAGGGCCACGCGGACCGGGCGCACTCTCGACCACCTCCTCCTCCTCCTCCTCCTCCTCCTCCTCCTCCTCCTCCTCCTCCTCCTCCTCCGCCTCCTCCTCCTCCTCTCCCCCTCCTCCCCCACCTCCTCCTCCTCCTCCTCCTCCTCCTCCTCCTCCTCCTCCTCCTCCTCCTCCTCCTCCTCCTCCTCCTCCCTCTTGCTAAGATGACGGCGTCAGCGACTGAAGTCGGCGACCCGCGGCCCCAAGAGCACGGTCGCCTCGCCGGCGGCGGCCCGCAGCGGCGCGGCCGCGGCCGCGGGCGGGCTCCACGCGACGGGGTGCGGCGAAACGACGACCTCGGCTGCGAGCGGGGCCGCCGACGACGAGCACGACGGCGATGCGGACGACGACAAGCCCAGAGATCCGACGCTCCAAAAAATATTGCAGCAGGCGGTGTTTGGTCGTTTTCGGCCTCTGGGGGCCCTCGCCGCGCCTCGGGAGCGTCAACAACCGACTCGGGACGAAAAACCGGCCCTGGGGACCTGGTCCGGACCTCCAGGGCCCAGGCATCAGAAAAATTGGAGCAGCCCGGTCTTTGGACGTTGACGACCGACGACGGCCGACGATGACCCACGGGCGGCCGTGTGGCGGTCGGGGCCAATCAGCTTTGGGTCGGGGCAGTTGGGCTCGAGGAGCCAGGCCTCCAACGTGCTTCTTCCCGCGCAGAGCGCAACGGGTGCCGCAACCACATCGCGAATCGAAAGATCGCCAGGAAACCTGGGAACAACGCGCAAGCCGACTTGCTGAGGCAGACTCAGGCTACGAGCAGTGGCCTGAGCAGCATATCGACTGCGCACCTGCGACAGGAGGAAGGGAGAGGCAAGACGAGAAGAGAGAGGAGAGAGGGGAGACGGGGATGAAGAGTGGGCAACGCGGTTGCCAAGAACAGCTGCCACGGACAGCGGTGGCTTGCAACGCTGACCCACGCCAGAAGTAAAAGAGGCGCCGGCTCCAGGGAAAGGGCCATAACCCCAGATTTGCCTGCAGACGCGCGCACAGCAGGAACGACGCAGCATTGCTCCGGGCAGCATCCCCGTGAGGACCTTCGACGTGGCCTCAGAAGGTCTTCAACCCCCTCCCCCAAGACTCGGGAAAGCATATTTTCTTTTCGGGCATCTGGACGGACTGATCCTCCTCATCCTCCCCCTCCTCCCCTCCCCCTCCCCCTCCCCCTCCTCCTCCTCCTCCTCCTCCTCCTCCTCCTCCTCCTCCTCCTCCTCCTCCTCCTCCTCCTCCTCTGCGGTTTCTGCGGACGGCCTAGGTCGAGCCAGCTCAGCCTAGGCCCAGCACAATAAACGGGGGGAGGCCAGGAAAAGAACCTTGAGCCTCGAACCTCCCTCCCTCCTCGCAGCGCTGCAGAGCTCTCGCCTCCATGCAGCTCCTGCTCACCATCGTGAGTATGTCGAGCAGCGGGCGGCCACGCGCGCTCTCTCTCTCTCTCTCTCTCCCCCCCCCCCCCCACACACACATCCCCAATGCCCCATCCTCGCCCCTTCAAACCACAAGTCCAGCACTGGCCTGAGACGAGTCACTACCCAGCCGCAAGGACCCCAAAGTGGGAAGGAGGGGAGGAAGGAAATGAGCTGCCTAGGAGCAGTGGGACGAGGGAGGGAATGGGAGAAGGTGGCCAATGACTAGAGGGTGCCGCTGCGTAGGGCAGCCTCCATACCCTCGAGCCTGTCTAAAAAGCATCAGGCGGGTGTCATTGGCCACGTCGATATGGGCGTTGAGCCTGTGAAGAGTTCTCTCCGCCTCGGCAAGAGAAGGGTCAGTACCCTCGGGAGGCGGGTCCTCACCTATAAGGCGGTCCATGCTCTGTGAGGCCTCATGGGCCTGGTGGACCAGGCCAGCCAGCATGCGCACGACTGCAGAAAGCTCTCTGTGGGCTTTCTTTAGGCCCTCATTAAGACGCCTCAGCACAGCCTCCGCCTCGCGGAGCTCCACATCCTTGCCGACTGGGGGGTCCTGGATGCGCCTTCCATCGGCCGAGCCTGCACTCATTTCTTTTGGTGGGGCGCGGGCCAATGCAAAAGGCCTGGGGAGCACAAGGCTGCGGAGGGGGCGGAGTGGAGGCGGTGGCGGGGGAAGCCACCAGGGGGGTACACCACACGGAGGAGCCATAGGCCCAACGCACACACACACACAACACCCCCACACACGCCTAATACTCGAAAATCCACCACTCCTCCTCCACCAGAGGCCTATACGTTAAAGCCCTCTAAGTAAGCCCAGCCTTCATACTGCCAGCAACATTAACAGCCAATATGCCCCAAGACTGGACCGCTGGGCTTACAAAAGGGAAAGCCTGAATACTTCAAACTGCCTGCCTCTTCTCCCAGTCCCTCGTCTGGGAGTTGGTACTGGCTGCCAGCGAAAGGGTCCAGCCCATTGGCGAGTGCGTTCCGCTCCGCCGCTGGCTGAGCTGAGTTCTTCCTCGGCTCTTGAAACGCTGATGACGGGAACGCCGCATCTACAAAGGCCGTTTTAACTTGGGCCTCGTGGCCCTGTCCTCCTCTGCTTTGGAAGATCCTCGCACCCCCCACCGTCCACTATCCAGCACTGGCCTGAGAAATTCACAAATCCAGCCGCAAGGACCCGAAAGTGGGAAGGGGGAGGAGGGCAAGGGCTGAATAATAAAGAAGAAGCGAGGGAGGGGAGAAGAGAAAGTGGCCACTGCCTAGAAGGTGCCACTGCGGAGGGCAGCCTCCAATACCCTCGAGCCTGTTCGGTGAACAAGCGGGTGTCATTGGCCTCTTCAATTGGCGTTGAGCCTATCCGAGTTCTCCCCGCATCAGCTAGAGAAGGGTCTAGGCCGTCTGGAGAACGGGTCCTCACCTATGAGGCGGTGTAAACTCTGAGTAGCCTCTTGGGCCTGGTTGACCAGGCCAGCCAAAACGCGCAAACATGCCAATACTCTCTGTGGGCTTTCTTGAGGCCCTCATTTAGGCGCCTCCGCACAGCCTGCTCCACTCGGATCTCCTCCTCGCCAACTGGGGGGAATCCTGGATGCGTTTCCACCCTGGCCGTGGCTAGCTACTGGCGGAGCTGGGTCGCTTCTTCCTCAGCTCTTAGTACGCATAAGACGGGACGCCTCTTCATCAAGGCCGTGCTTGGCCTGAGCCTCGTGGCCCTGTCCTTCTCCTCTTTGGGAGCAAGGCTCTTTTCGGGGAAGGGGACCTGAAACGGCTTTGCGGAAATCTAGGTCACATGGGCCCCCCAGTTAACCCTTCCTGCTACGTGAGGCCTAATCATGATGGCTTTCTCACTGGGTGTTATGGCTCGCTGAGAGCAAATATGGAAGAAAATATAGGGCAGGACGGAAGAGGAGAGGAGGGATAGGGCACAATGAATGTCTGAACGCCTCCTGAGAATCCCTTCTTACTGCGTGAGGCCAGATCATGGCTCTCTCACTAATAGCTGCATGTTGCTTTCTCCTCTTACGTCACAAAACTAAGTTCACCTACCCAGGAAAATCCCTGGGGAAATTGCGAAGAACACCAGGCGGACGAAGATGTCAGAATGTGGCATGATGTCCACAGTAGGATGCGCTGACAGAGCTCCAGGCAGGTTTGCGGCATCGCCTGGGACGGTGCTATGCACTATCCTCCAGGCTGTGCCCCCCTCCACGCAAGGGGAGACCACCGAAGCCACTCTCTTGGAGCAGAGGTGTGTGGCGTCACCTGGGACAGCACAGCCCGTGCTATCCTCCAGGCCGTGCCTCCCGCAAGGCGCAGGAAGACCACCGAAGCCACTCCCTCTAAAGCCTAAAAACACAAGCCGACAACATCGATCGGGCCCTCATGCCAGGGCGAGAGAATATTGGCAGCATGCGACTGCGAAGTTCTCGGTATCCCAGTCGGAGATGATGTAGAAGCGGCGCAGAAGAATACCCCTCACCTGGATCTGGCGGCAGGGGATCAGCAGCTTCGGCACCAGGGCCAGCTCCCTCAGCGTCTCGGATAAACGGGGTCTCCTCATCAGCATCCACACGGACTGGGGGCGGGCTGAGGACGATTGGCTCCGCCAAACCAATCTCCGCGACGCAATTGGGGACAGCGGCAACCTCCCGCTCCAAGTACGACACGACGAGCGGGAAGACCATGGCCCCACACGTACATCTCGTACCTTCTGCGGCGGCGGCGGGGGCGGGAGGAACCGCAAGAAGTGCACCCTCAACCACTGTTCCCGACGGGGCGAAGACATCTGCGTCTGCTCGCATGGACGACTTCTCGTATGCAGGAACAACAGCGGCAGCATGGGCAACCTGCGGCGGACCGAGGCGCTCCCCAGCAGCAGCCCATGCCAGCTCGGCATCCGACGCAGTGCAGAAGCCGCGAGGCGGCACGCGCCGCGCATGGAGAGCTGCGTTGCGCCTCCTGCGCGCTCTGCCTGGGACGCGGAGCTGGGCGGTGGCGGCGATCAACGCAGGTCGCGCAGCCTGCTCCCTGTCGCGCCAGGAGCCAGGCTCGCACGGACCTGACAGCGACCGAAGCCACGCCTCCAAGGCTTCGCGACGCCTGCGGCGAGCGAGCCTCCGCGCCGCGGAAGCTCCCAGGGACTCGATGTCCAACTGACGCTGGGCTGAGGGCCGCCACGAACTCGGACAGCCCCCCGTAGCCGACATGGCACGAGCGCTCCTCCTCCTCCTCCTCCTCCTCCTCCTCCTCCTCCTCCCCCAGCGATACTTGGAAAAGCATTGTTCCGCCGCGGCGGCCACCGCTCAGGCCTCCGCCGTCGTCGTCGTCGCCGCCGCCGCCGCCGCCGTGGTCGCCATCGTGCTCGCAAAAGGCCGCTCGAGGGCCCCAGGGCAGCGCCCTCGGCATTGCTCCATTGCTCCTCTCCTCCTGCTTCTCCTTGTGCGCACGGGTTGAGCAGGAGACGCCCACTGCGTGAGAGGACGAGGGGGAGGACGAGGGGAAGAATGAGGACGAGAGGGGCGAGTTCTATTGCCAGCCAAGGGCTCAGGGGGAGTGGTGCCAGCAGCATCGAAGAGCCTCTGAAGTGGGTTGTGCTGAGCATGACCGAAGCAAAAGGTCTGTCGCCGTTGTCGGCCGCCAGGAATGCTCGCCAGGCCCTCGGGACCGTCCCCGGGAAAGCATTCCCGGGAAGACGGACGGGACGTCTGGAGGCCCGCCCAATATCGAGGAACCCAGAACGCCTTGCGTCGAGACAAAGGGCACGACGGCTGGTCTTCAGCCGTTGCTGCCACCAGGGAGCCGTTATCGGGACCCGGGGGTGTCAAGAAACGACTGCCATGGACATGAAACGCTGGCCCCCATAGGGGGGGACCCTCAGCTTGCAAGCGGTTCTGCTCCACCGACACACGCGGGTACCAATACTTGGAGTCTCGTCGACGCTCCGCCAAAACAGACCGAGACCTACGTACTGCTTAGCACGGAGGGGTACAACACACGACATCCCTACACTAAGCCCGTGCCATTGCGAAACAGTTGTGGGAAAACGGGCACGACGCCCAATAACGCACGTCGTCCAAGACATTCTGTCGCGAATGGGCAACGTCCGAGGCGACACCGGCAGAGTCGATTTCGAAAATTGTCCACGCACTGCTGTCGCCCTTCGTTCCCACTCTTTCCGTACTCCAGATTTCGTAATAAAAGGGAGGGGGTCTGGACCCTCCAAGACAAGCCATTTCAGACCCCCCCCCGTGGGAGAACCCTCCAAAACATCGTCCCCAGACCCCCCCAGGCCCTCCAAGATGGCCTGGAAGAGACCCCCCCCCGAAATGAGACCCCTCTCCGTTTATTACGAAATCTGGAGTACCCCTTGCGGTCACACAGAGCTGGGGCCGCCAGGCCGACGTCCAGCCTGGCCTCCACGGGGCTCCAGGGCAGCCCCTGGAACCCGTTGCCCTAGTGTTCGCGATGGCGCCCGTGACGGGCCCCGCCCCCCCCCCCGCCCCCCCCCCTCCTCCTCCTCGCCTCCTCGACCTCCTCCTCCTCCCCTCGACCTCCTCCTCCTCCTCCTCCTCCTCCTCCTCCTCCTCCTCCTCCTCCCTCCTCCTCCTCGTCCTCCTCCTCCTCCTCCTCCCCCCCGCTCCCCCCGCTTGGTCACGCCCTGACGCGCGCCCACGCCGTCTGGGCACGAGCCCATCCTGGCATGCCCCGACGGCGCCGGCGCGGATCGTGATGTGACCGGGCCCCATCCCCCCCGCCCCCCGCCCCCGTCACGCCCCAGACATCGGGCTGCCCCCATTTGTGTGGTGCGGGGACCCTGCAGGACGTCTGGACCGCTTCCCCGGGACCGGTTTTTCGCCCTGGATCATGTCTTGCCGCGCCCGAGGCCCGGCGAGGGCCCCCAGAGGCCGAAGACTGCCAAAAGCCGCCCGCCCCGAGTTTTTTTTGGGGGGAGCGTCGGATCTCAGGGGCCCGTCGCTGCAAGGGAGCAGAAGCTGCCCCCCGGTGGTCTCGACACTCCCCGCCTCTGGGCGCCGAGCACCTCAAGGGGGCCCCCGTCGACGGCGGCTCTGGGAGGCGCGATGCTGTTCGCGCCCTGCAGGTGCTTCTGGCCCGGCTGCGGGCCCCCGAGCGCGCACGCGTGGCGGGCCCCGGGGGGCCCGAGCCCAAGAGTGCGGCCATCTGTTTGGGGGCACGCGCGCCCACCTCTGCCAGCCTCTGCCCACGGAGGTCGTCTCGCTGCACCTCCCCCGAGATCCGACGCTCCAAAAAGATTGGAGCGGCCGGTTTTTGCCAGTTTTCGGCCTCCGGGGGCCCTCGCCGGGCCTCGGGAGCGTCAGAAAACGACTCGGGGCGAAAAACCTGTCCCAGGGAAGTGGTCCAGACCTCCTGGGTCCGCGCCCCCCAAAAATTGGAGCAGCCGGATGTCTGGGTCCGTCGCCACTCGCCGACCTTCCACCGCCTTCCGCCGAGGAAGGGATGCCAACTCCGTCGACGCGCGCAGGCGAGGGCCTCTCTGGAGTGTCGACCTGGCTCGACCGGGGCCGCAGGATGACGGTGGGTCTGGCACGTCCGCCCTCCTCTCCTCGGGGATGGACAGAGCTCCCTTCTCCTCCTTCTCCTCCTCCTCCTTCTCCTCCTCCTCCTCCTCCTCCTTCTCCTCCTCCTCCCCCTCCCCCTCCGCCTCCCCCTCCCCCTCCTCCATCTCTCTTTGACGTCCGCCTCCTCCCTCCGCCGTCCCTCTTCCAAACCGTGCGGCCGCGGCGCCCTCTCGAGAACCGAAAACGGACAATGCACTCATCGACGTGTCAGGGTGGGGGTTCTGTCCACCCCCTTTTTGTTGCTGTGTTCTGCTGCGTTCCTGCTCGCAGCGCACACCGCCAGAGGCGGTGGAGAGCTTGAGAGATCCACCTACCAAAAGAACAAACAATTCACTACTCGAAGTGTCAGGGTGGAGGTTCCGTCCACCCCCGACCCCCCCCACGGAAGGGCAACGAGACGGGGGGACCAGCGGCTCAAGGGGGGGGGGGGGGGGGGGGGCAAACGTCGGCCTGGAATCGGCGATACCTCGCGGATGGATCAGCGACGGCGATCCATGGATTTTTGGCGCGCGGTTGCCAAGTCCATGGATCGGGGGAGGTGCCCCCCCAAAATGCGGCAGGTGCCGCCTCGTTCGGCGGCGGAAACCCGCGATTTCTCATGAAAGCGGGGCCCGTCGCTAATTCACGCCCCCTTCATCCGTGTTTGCGAACGCCTGAGGAACGTCGGCCTGGAATCGGCGATACCTCGCGGATGGATCAGCGATGGGCCCCCGATGGCGACTCCGCAGGGTCCCCTGGGCGTGGTGGGCTGTCGGGCCCCTATTGTCGGGAGCGGCCAAGAGGGGGGGGTCCAAGAGGGGAGGGTGCAAATCATGACCGGCGGCATGTGCGCGGCCCAGCGGGGGGGCCAGGGACGTAATGAAATCATGTGCGCGGCCCAGCGGGGGGGCCAGGGACGTAATGAAATGAGAAGAGGCGCCATGAAATCTGGGGAAAGATCGTGGCCCACGCCATGATATCCCCCCCCCCCAGTCACCACCCCCCTGTTTGCCGCCCCCGATAGTGGCGATCAATGGGCAACTGGGGGTCGATGCACCTCCCCCCCTGAGCTTTTCTCGGCGGCGGGCGAGGGGGGGCAGCGAGAAGGGGCAGGCCTCCGCAGGAGGCTCGGGAGCCCCCCCCGGCCTCCCGAGAAGGGCGTCTAAAACCTTCCCCGGGGACGCAGAGAACTTCGCAGAAGGCGCGAGGGCTTCTGAGGAGTCCCGCTGCCTTCTGAGCAGGCCTTCTCCTTCTCGCTTCCCCCTCTCGCTCGCCGCCGATGCTTCCCGCCCCCGATTGGGCGTGGCTTCATGGGGGGGTCATAAATGGAGGGGTCAGAAACGGTCCCCTTTCGTGCCCCTTTCGGGCCCCTCCGGACCCCCAGGGGGCTCGTTTAGGTACCGTTTGGGTACCTTTTCGAACCACCCTCGCCACCCCCCCATTTATGACCCCTCCATTACGCAACGCCCAACCCGACGGTTGTTGGGCCAGTCCGGGAACGCAGCGGCTGGAAGGCAGTCGGAAACCTCGAAACTCGAACCTGGCGTTCCCTGTCCCCATCGGATCGGCGAACAGATGTCCCACCCCAACGTTGCCCCTGACGACCTGAGGCTCCTTGTACCCCCACCTGGCATCAGGTCGGGCATGTCTCTCTACAGGCGGATTTCGGACGACAAATCGAAAAGATCCCCGAAATCCTGATAACTAACCAGGGGGCCACATGCGAACCCTACCCCTACCCCCCACAACTTCTGAGGGGGAGGGAGGGGTTCACTTCGCTCGGGAGCTCCCAGACAAAATGTGAACCCCACCCTCCCCCCGAGAAATCGTGGGGGGGTCAGCGGTAGGGTTCGCATGTGGCCCCCTACTAACTACGCAAAAAAATAATCAAAAAATTGTCCCAAGAGGCCCCCCAAAGAAGCATCTTGACGACGACTCTATTTCGCCCCATCGAGAGACGACCCCCAGGGAACTGCTTCACCATCAAAACTCCCCACGCAACGCGTCCGAACGACACCCGCCCCCAAGAGCGCAACATGGGCAACGAACACACAGACAAAAACCAGCGATGCCATATCACGGGCCGGCGGAATGAGCGAAGCGATTCAATAATCAACAAAATTGTCCCCAGACTATTTTTGGACTCTGTCTGCATCTTCCCCCCGTCGAGGGACAAGCCCGACTTCAGCCTAGAGCATCGACTCTCCCGAGAGTCGCCGGCAGACGGGGGGAGGCCGTCTCGGATATGGTCTCGCCGCGTGCTCGCGGGGGAACCGCAGGCTGCCGACACCGCTGCTCCTAGAGCGGGGGCTTCCGAAAACTGAGCGCCTGATCGGGGATGGACAGAACCCCCTTTAGCAAAACGTGGTTTAGTGAAAACGACCTCGGGCCCAAATCTGGCGGGCGAAAGCCTGGAAACTGACGGCCACGGCGCCCTCTCGAGAACCGAAAACGGACAATTCACTAATCGACGTGTCACTATTGGGGGTTCTGTCCAGCCCCGACTGAAGGGCAGCTGGGGCCGAGTGAAATGTGAGGTCGGCAGGGCGGTGTGGGCTCAACTCAGTGGTCAGAACCACGTTGCAAGAGGCAGCAGCCTTGCCGAGACCCCCGCTACACACAC